TATTAGTTTCCTTTTTTTTTTTTTTTATAATAACATTTTGGTTGGATCCTTTATTTCTCCAACCCACTAATTACTAATAATACGAATTTCAGTACTTTTACAGAATGGAAGTAGTTAGTTTAAGAAGTTGTTGGCAAAGAAACAGAAATGATAAGCTAGCCTTTGCAAGGGTTTTGCCACCGCGTTATGAATAATAAATAAATAAAGTTCCAGTTATATGTAAAATATTTCAATTTTCAGATTATTTTCATATATATATATATATATATATATATATATATATGGTGTAAAATTAAAATTTGTTCCTGTATTTTTTAAATTTAGTCAAATCAACTCTTTTATATGAAAGTTGTTCTAATTGACCCACCCTCAAATATTAAATTATAATTTTCTTTTCTTTTTTCTCAATTGAATACATAGGTTTTAATTTATTTCGTTTGAGTATATTAATTTTTCTAAAAATGTCAATCAAATATTTTGATCAATATTTTAAATGTCAGTTACTCCTAAATTACTAAATTTTAAATTTGCCTTATCTTTATTGAAAGAACTTTCTTCCTATATTGTTCTAACATTTTAAATTTAACAAAGAATTAAAAATTATTATTATTTTTTTATTTGTAAAACCCTAAACTAAATTCAATTAGATTTAAGCATGCAAATTATAAATACAAACGTGAAAATTTTTATCAAGAAGATTCATTATTTATGAGCATTTGGAGAGAAAGTTTCTTCTAGGGGAGAGAGAGAGAGAAAAAAAATTATAATGAGGTATTCTAGCTAGGAATAATAAACACGTCATTAATTAATGAAAAAATTGATATAAGTATTTGATTGGTAGTTTTGAAAAGTTGATGTATTCAAATAGAAAAAATTAAAATTTATATATTTGATTGAGAAAAAAAGAGCAAAACTATAATTTAGTATTTTAGGGCAACGGACACATCACAATCAATAGAGAAATTGACATAAATAGTTAATTGACAATTTTAGTTCATCATTTAGGCAAGATTGCTTAATGATCTTCTTATTTTTCAAGCGAGTTGCCTATTTAGGTCAATCATTTAGGAAAAGTTGTCTAATGATCTTCTTGTTTTTCGGGCAAGGTTGCCTAGTTTGGTTCATCATTTTAGGCAAAGTTACCTAACGATTATTTTATTTTTAGGCAAGGTTGTCTATGTAGTCAATCGTTTATATAAGGTTACCTAACGTTTAATTTCGGACAAAGTTGCTAATTTAGTTTGTTTCTTAGGTAGAGTTACCTAATGCTCATTTGCGAGGCAAAGTTGCCAAATTTAGTTTATTGCTTAGGTAGGGTTACCTAATGCTCGTTCTCGTGTAAGGGTAATAGTTTAGTTTATCGTTTAATTAGAGTTGCTTAATGATATTCTTATTTTCCAAGCAAGGTTGCTCAATTTTTTTCATTGTTCTAGGTAAAGTTACCTAACGAGTCATTTCATTTTCAAACGGGGTTACCTATTTAGTCAATAGCTTAGGTAAGGTTACTTAATACTCATTTTTCGAGCAAGGTTGTCTAACAATCATTTCATTTTCAAGCAGGATTTCTATTTACCTATTTAGTTTATCGCTTAGGTAGGGTTACTTAAAGTTCATTTCCAAATAGGGTTGCTAATTTAGTTTATCATTTAGATAGGATTGCCTAATCATCTTTTCATTTTCGGATAGAGTTGCCTATTTAGTCAACAACTTAGGTAATGATTATTTAACGCTCATTTTTCAAACAAGAAAGCTTATTTAGTCCATCATTTAGGTAAGGTTACTTAATAATCTTCTCATTTTTCAAAACAAGTCATCATTTATCGTTTCATTTCAATTTTCGGTTACTTTATTCTTTGCAAGCTCATTAAGCAAATTCAAATTTCGGTTAGTGTTTGCATCGTAAGATGCAAAAAGGGGGCAACTCGTCATACCCCAAAATTTTACTCATTTTTCTTTTATTTCGAGTTTTCTTTATTTTTCTTTTTATTATTTAATTCATGCTTGCTTTATGTAAAATCAAAACAAACAAAAAAAATCAAAAATATTTTCTTTCATTTATTTAGAATTCGAACAAAATTACAAAAGAAAAAAATACAAAAAATACAAAAATAATTTGAATTTAACATTCGGGGATGCAATTGCATTAAATTTAAAATAATTACGAGTAATTGAGGATACAATTAAATCATTCAAAGTTCGGGAGTCGGATTACATTAGATAGGAACCAAGTTGATCTAATAATAATTTATAAGGACCAAAATTGCAAAATTACAAAAAAAAAAAATACATAAAAAAGAAAAAATGCAAAATTTATAGAGGATTAGGCGAGCAATCATCCACTTTTGCCCGAACTAGTTTCGCGATCTTGGTCATCTTACTTCCCTTGGAACCAGCTTTGGTTTCCAATTCATCGTAATTCTCTTCCCTTAGGAACCAATTTGGTTCCCGGTTTCAGCTCCTAGCAATCATCATCCCTTAACTTGTAGTTGCCCACCTCTTCTCTATATTAAATAATCTCATCACCACCCTTCATTGCAACCATTATGTCAGCCTAACTTGCCCCCGTACTACTTCTTCCTTCCACTCAACAAAATCAAGCCGACCACCCTATTGCCGCAAATCCTATCGACTTCCTTATCACCCAAACCAGTCTCCACCACCCTATTACCGCAACTCAAATAGCACTACCCTCATCGCTACAATTCCTACAACACCACCCTACCGCCCTAGCCCGTAATTCTAGCACTATCCCCCGCACAGACCACCTGCGCAAAGACACAAAACTAATCCCATCCAACCCCTACTTGACAAACTCGCGGAAAATCCCCCATCATTATAATGGAGGAACCAACCAAGTTGTTCATATATGTGTGTGTGTGTGTGTGTGTGTGTGTGTGTGTGTGTGTAAACAATTGACGAGAGAGGAGGAGAGAGTTAATGTCCAAAAATTAAGAGGGATTTCGGTTTAAAAATTGAAAGGAAAAGCCTAAGCTAAAAACCCAAAAACCCGAATTGAAGCTACAAGTCCACCACCTTCATCGATTCTTTGGGAAGAGAAGAAGGAAGAGGAAAGAAGAAAAGAAAAGTGGGAGTATGGACGAACCCGTTCTAGTTCGTTCATGACAGATTTAGGAGGAAAAAAAGAAGAAAGAAAGAGAAGAGAAAGAGAAAAAGGTTCGGGAAAGGAGGAAGAGAAGAAAGGAAGAGAGGGAAGAAAAGGAAAGAAAAGAATAAGGAGAAATAGGGATGAACCACCAGTGGTTCGTCCATGGCAATGGCCGGGAGAGGGATTCGGGAAGAAGAAGAAAAAAATAGAGAAAACGGGAAAAAGGGAGAGAAAGAAAGGAAAAAAATGTGTTTTGATCTAAAACTCCTAAAAATTTGGTTTGAGTTATGTTCTTGGGTTTATGTTTTTTTAAAAAATAGAGGAAGTGTGGGTTGGGTCCCCAACCCAACTTATGGCTGGGCTTGGACGATCCGACCAGACTCGAATTTATGGGTAGGTTGGACGAGTCCAACCCAAACCCGAAAAAACAAAAAAAAAATGAAAAATTGGGTCATTATTTTTATGCATATTGTTATTTCATTTTTAATTTAAAATTTTAATTGTTTTTAATTATTTTAATTAATATAATTTTAATTTTTTAGTTTCTTTTATGCATGTTTGTTAGTTTATATTAACTTAGAATTTAATATTTTAATTGTCTATAATTAGTTTAATTAATGTCATTTTAATTTTGAATTTATTTTATGCATGCATGTTATTTAAATTTTCTTTTATTTATTGATGCAGACTTTAATTATTTGCTTAATAATTAGAGTTGATAATTAATGAATGGAGAATTGTCAAATCTCCTAATTCTTTAAGGATTGATGACGATCTTCCACCAAAAAAACAAAAGAAAGAAAAATAAAAAATCATAAAAATTTTAACAAAGTTTCCTATCCGATAGGGATCGTTGTTAATTAAAAAATTATTTTTAATAAACAAGTGTTCTTCGACACATCGATTATGTCGAGATTCAAAAAGTGGATCCGATTTTTATTTTTGAACCGATGTGTCTCTTGACGGAAGGAGTTCGACGATCATTTTAATACAATGATTTAGCAAAATTGGAGTTTTAAAATTGAAAAATGATTTAGCAAAAATAAAATACTTTAGGAGATTAATTTAGGATTAAACTGCATACATGGTACCTTTCTTCGAAAGGACGCTTTTGGGTGATGAAATATCTTTTTTAAAACGTAACCAACTCCTTATCTAAGAATTTTTAAACTAATGCTCATTTTAGGTTCTTAGCTTTTTTAATATTAAGCTGACGACTCCAAACTTTATAAATAAATTCAACAAATAAATAAAATCTTATACGAAAGATTTTAAATTTTTTTTAAAATCTCGTTCGACGTCAGTAACGACATTACAAATACAAATACAAATCATGCTTGATTCCCCAAATTCTTTTTGGTCTTTTTTTTAATGTCATAGAAAAGCCATACAAACATTGTTTTTAAGAAAGTTTCATTTAATAAACACGTGTCCGATGTTCGGTGAAGAAATTGTTTAGAATATTAAAAATAAAGTTAAAATGGAAATTATAAAACTATTTTCTAAAAGTTTTGCAAGTTCCTATGAATTAGGAAATGTAAATTGAAATATTTCATGAAAATAAATTATTTTCTGATATTTGATGGTATTTGAAAAACTATTTATTTAATTGTGTCATATATAGGAAATAAACTAAAAAAGATAACCAAATGACTTATTGTTAATCCAAAAAAAAAAAAAAGTCCAAATCTTTCCTCAACGGTGGGTTTCCGTTAGCATAAACATCCAAGGCCACAGCCACAACCACCACCCTACCCGCGGCTGATCCACCACCGTTGTTGTTGACGACGAAGGAGGGGAAGGGAAAAGAAAAAATTGTTCATCTCGTAATAAAGACTTCAAACTATCTACAGGATGAGCTGGTGCTAACCTTTTGCCAACTATCTCTTTCTCAATGAATCCTTCAGCTCCAAACCCCAATCACCTTCCCTTCCCGTACCCTTCTCAAAACCCTAATCCTAACCCTAATTTCCTCTCCCAACCCTTCCCCCACCCACCACCACCACCGCAAATTCTTCTTCCATCCACCACCACAACAACCACTCCAATTCTTGATCTTTCCATCACCCTCTCCACTCTCACCAACCTCATCTCTCTCACACACCAAACCCTCGCTTCCCTCTCTCCACAGGTTACCCTTCCAAAGCCTCATAATGCTAACTTTATCCCTTGCCCTTTCAATCCTCACCACCTTATGCCACCAGAACCCCTCTTTCTCCACTCTCTTAACTGCCCAGTTCCTATCTTTCAAAACCCATCTTCCCTTTTTGACTATCTTCACTACCCAAACACAATTAACACTCAAGACCCGCATAAAGATTCAAACTTTACTCAATCAATACAAGACCCTAATAAAATTGAACTTTGTTTCTCGTTAGATAGTTATTACAATGAGTTTAGTTCGCATTTCTTTTACAATGACTGCCACGGTGTTGTTAACTTAAATGATTTAGATAGCTCGAAAAGAATGTTTACATTACCTGGTGTTTTGTTCGTTGAATGTGTGAATTTTGGGGCTAGTGGTGAGAGAGAGCAAAAGGATTTCGATAAAAATGGGTTAAGAGTGTTGCCATCTGAGTTGTGGGTAATTAGGAGGGAGATAGAGGGTTGGATTGATTATCCGGGTGTATATTCCTATAGTGTGCTTTGCTTGATTTTGAGGTTGAATTTGATTAAAGGGAGTGATTTGAGGAGATGGGTTATTGCTAATTCTCCGCGTTATGGTGTGGTGATTGACGTTTATATGAGGGATCACATATCTGTGCTTTTTAGGCTTTGTTTGAAGGCTATTAGAAAGGAAGCATTGAGCATTGCTAGTTGTGAGATGAATGCGAAATCTTTGAAATGTCCAATTTTAGTTCAAGTTTTGATGTGGATCGTATCTCAGCTTTCCGTTTTGTATGGTGAAGTGAATGCGAAGTGCTTTGCTATTCATGTTTTAAAGCAGTGTGTATTAGAGGCTGCCAATGACGTAGTGTTGTCTCCGGTGGAGTCTAGTGTGACGGAAAGTCTGAGGGATTTAGAAGCTAGTGAGGGTGAAATGAAGGATGTTAAACTTGCAGAACCTCCAGAAGGAAGTAGAGAGTGTAAAATAGTCAAAGCAGTGGATGAAAGTGATGATGGAGTGATTTTTGTGTCCCAAGTGGCAGCTGCAGTTGCTGCATTGCATGAAAGGTCCATACTAGAAGCAAAAATCAAGGGATTACGGTTTCCTCAACAACTACCAAGATATCAGCGGTATATCTCTACTTATTTCATATTCTTGTTGTTCTTGATTGTAAGATGTTTCACTCACAAGTCCAGTATAATTTCAACATGTCTTACTTTAAGTGTAGGATTGCTGAGCATTCTTTTGTTTCAAAAAGAGCTGATGATGAGAGAAGCAAACGTCCCAAATACAAAGCTATTATTGAGCATGATGGCCTTCCTCGAAAGCAATCATCTAACCAGGTACAAAGCATATAGATGATTTTTCTTTGTTTTAATTGTTGGAGCCTTTATTGTTTTTTATTTTTTATTTTTTTTCAGTTGATAGACTGTAAGTGATATATATAAAGCCCCCCACCCAACCAAAATACTAAAATAAAATAGAAAAACCGCCACATGATATCAAAGAAGCCAAATGACATTATATTTCTGGAATTTTTAAAATTTTGAAGGTAGTGGACTGTTCTCTCCCTCGTTGGTGAAATTTTGCGGGAAGAGAAGTAGTATCCATGTACCAAATGTAGCTGGCATATGTTATCTATGTGCCTAAGATTTGAAGATAAGATTTATTTAAATTTTAATAATTCAATGTTTGGACATCCCTGACATGCATTAGCAGAAGTTAGAGTTTCTGAAATTTCAAGGCATTCACAGCCATGAACATGATAATAGGCATGGACAAAAAATAAAGCAAGGAAAGAGAGCATGAATTTTATTTGGATGTTTATCCTGTCAAAATTTCAGTTCATTACTTCCTCTAGATCCCTTAATATTTTTAGAGTTGCATTTATTTTGAGAAGAGCTATGGTCTGAAGACTGGTAACTGGCTCAATATTTCCTAAGATGGGATTAATTGTTCTTTACCATGTATCGCATTATTCTTACTTTCCTCAGAAAATGGCATCTTTATGATGTTTTGCTTGCTTATTGTTCTCATGATTTACCCTGGCAATGCTTGCTGGTCATAAAAGGTCAATATGGTCTTGAGTTTAATGATCTTTTGTGTTTGCATAAGGAATCAAACAAAACAAAGACACGAGAGGAGTTATTGGCTGAAGAAAGGGATTATAAACGCCGAAGAATGTCATACCGTGGAAAGAAGTTGAAACGAACAACTTTACAGGTAGGAAGCAAAACATTAACTGCTTATTCCTGTCGCCTGTGCTGATATTTTGAGAGTTTGAAATTTGTGTGCTTTTACGTATTGTCTAATCATTAACTGCTTATGCCTATTGCTTGTGCCCATATTTCCTATATTTTCCAAGAGACTCCTAAAGTAAGATAATGTCTTATTTCTGAATGAATATTGTATTGTAGTTTGTTGTTAAGAGGAAGTTGGAATCATGTGAATTGGATCTGTTAAGATCCACGCTTTTATTACCTACCTCTCTTTCTTAGTGTTTGGTACGGTCATACATGTTTGAGTTTAGCGAAAACCAATATAGGAGAATCCATCGATTTGACAACAACTATTTTCACATTTAGCTTATCATATAAAAATGCCACTCTCTCTCCCTCTTATTTAGTTTTAATGACTTTGTCGAAGGTGATGAGAGATATAATAGACGAATACATGGAGGAAATCAAGCAAGCTGGGGGGATTGGCCGCTTTGAGAAGGGTACTGAAGAGGAAGAGATGTCTGCTAATCCACCTTCTGCCCCTGATGTTACTGTGAATGAACTAAGAAAAGTCAATAGCAACTCATCTGAAGCAACAAGAACTACTTCGAACCACTACCAGAAGGAATCACATTCTGACCGTAATTTTAGATCTAAAACCTCCAAGGATGTGTTGCCTCAAGATTATGACCAACAAGGACGAAGCAGTTATGGGCACCATGAAAAGGTAGAATATCGGAGAAGTGCCAACCAAGACAGACATGGAAGAGAGTACAGCAGAAGTCCAGAGGGAAACAAAAGTCATGCTCGGTTGCATGTGCAGAGTGGTCACCAAAGAGGAAGAGATGAAGCTAAATTGACTAGATCCAAGGATCATGAGAAACGGTCTTCGAGCAAGTCCTATCGTGATTATAAGTCGTCATATTCTGGACTGGAATCTGCAGATAGTTTGCAAATGGATGATCGGAAGTCAGATGTAAGAGATAGACATCCAAGAAACTCATATGGCAATCATGGTTCTACTTCTATGGCACGAAATGCATTTGAGGATAGATATGATCCTAAAGAATCTCATGATGTGCATGAGGATGATGTCTACACTGGCACTACATATGCCAGGGAAGAAGTTAACGATTGATCTAGCAGTGCAAAAAGGCAACTAAACTGATTACCTTGAGAAATTCTCATTTCAGAATGTGAGGTAAGCTATTGTGTTTATTTTTATAGTTTCAAAAATGTTTTATTTGCACCATATACAAGGTCTTGCTTTTAACATTTTTTTTCTCCGGACAACTTTGCAGTAGGAAGTTATCAGGCTTCAGCAAGTTATCTACATCTGTATCCTCTGTTGTATCCTTGATTGTTTTATTTTCTTTACTGTAGAGGTCCTCATTGTTTCCCCACTGCTCCTGCAATGCCAGTGCTTTTTTCGATATACGAGGAATAAATGGTGATAACATTTGAGTAGAAAATAATGTCTCAATGAAAATTCTAACATAACGATGCCTTATTGCAGCATGTAACTGTTCTGTAATTTATACTGTGTATAGAATCTTAAATTACCAAATCTGATTCAGTCGTGTTGACACCAGTACCTTTGTGGATTAATATATATGCAAGTTGTTGCCAGTCAATCTTTGATGGTAAGGTCATTGTTTGCCATGGAAGAACTGGTAAATAACACAAATCAGCAGGGTTTGCAGGTTTGCTTGGAATGGTTCCCTGTCTACAATTTTGTTTTTCTGGGGAAAAGCTGAAACCTATTGTTTATCCAAAATTTAGTTTCCTAAGTTAGGTTTTTATGTACTTATTTATTTATTTATTATTATTATTGCTATGTATAGGTAATTTGTTAATTTGAAAGTGATTGTAGCTCACCTTGCTTCTTGTAGGTTCTAAAAGAAGACTAGCTTTTTCCTGAGAATATTTGAGGTTTTCCTTTTCTCATGCTGGTTGTTCAAGCCAAGAAGGTTGATGATGAAGTGAAGCGATTTCTTTGGCAGGTTAAAGTGACATTCGTTGGAGTTCTCGTATATTTGTTCCAATTTTGTGCTTACACAAAAGAGATACAAAATTACTAATCAGCTGTTTTTTCCATGGTTGATTAGAGTAGCACTTACAGAGACCACCTTAGGTTCTTCATCTTGTTACTGTATTTCTGAGTATGAAGAGGTGATAATAGAATAATACAATTTTGTATGAGAAATAACAGAGTTTTCATCTGAACCATGGCAAGTTACTCGTTTATGTTTTATTGGATAACTCCCTTCTCGGGGATTGCTCGTAGAAGTTTTGGGGATGTATCAGAAATAGAGGGCATCTGATATCTATCATCATTTTCCACCGTCGCCGGAGCCATACAAAAACAATGTGGTGATAGGCTATTAAGTGTCCCTTTTCTTGCAGCCAATAAGGAATCCAAGACATCGAAAGAGAAGATATTTGTGCCTGTCAATGGCTGCTTTTATTTTGGGAAGTGGGGGACAAGACGTCTCATATGATTGATAAAGAAATAAACGAACTAAGGCATTTGTGGCAACTGCTGGTTGCTGCAAATAAACAGCCGCCTTGAGCTTTCTTCCTTCATAACTGATGTGGACAGCAGCCTTTCTTGTTTGTCTCTCCTTGGCATTGAGCAGTTGCAACCAAAGAACCCCATTAAACTATTTCACGAGAGCTTATCTTTTCTATGGGAGTTCATTGAAAGCTTCAATTTTGTTATTATCAAAGGTGATTTTTTTGCAATTGCTCCATGTCATCAAGATAGCGAGACAAAATTATTATCTAAAACTTGTTTTCTAATCAAATGAACTAAAGTTCATAACTAATAATACAATGGAGTAGTAGTAGTAGTAGTTTTCTTTTACATGGTTGGGGAGGAGGAGATTCGAACTTTCGAAGCCACGCCCTTGTGTCATTCATTGTTTGAAAGCAAATGATAATGACCAAAGCTTGTTCTGGTGCACCAAACAATCAAAAATGAATTAATTTGTTAAATCATGCACTTGGTATTTGAAATTCAAATTGTTCCATGGGACCTCACTGTTGGGAATCGAATTAAATATAGGAACGATTTTCATGCGTACGCATAATCGTCTGGGGAAGTGAGCTTTTGGTTTCAAATTATATATAGTAATTTTTTATACTTGAAAGAAAAGTCATTTGGATTTTTTTCCTTTTATTTATTTATCAAGAAAAAAATATTATATATACATGTCTGGAAATAATAGTTGAGTATTTTTCGTACCTCACCATTTCGGTTTGAAGTTGAGGGGATACAACAAAATTAATTTCATATAAATTCGAAAGATCTAATTTTAATGTATAAAATCTGGAAATATCGTTATTTTTAAGATAAAAGAAGAAGAAGAAGAAGAAATAAGACATCAATTGTTTAAGGAGGGTTCCTCCACTCCCTTACTTTTTGGATTCAAATATTTTTAACAAAAAATTATTAAATACATCTAAATGTATCAAATTAATGTAAAAATTTTATTTTTAAAATTGTTAAATAATAAATTTAATTTCAATTAATACAAAATTAGTTAAAAAATACTGTTGTTTATCGAATGAAAAAATATATAAAGTTAAGCAATTTGCACCATGACAATATCATTGCCACATTACTTGTATTAATGAATATAAATTCAATTTTGTGTTAAAAATAGTTGTTATAATTCTTGAATTAGTATATTAAAAAAAAATCAAACTTGATATAGATTTAACAAAACTGATGATGGTTTAGTATTATTTTTTTTATTTGGAAAACAATTAAAAATAAAACATTTTCGTTTTTGTTTTCTAAAATATTTAAAAAATTGACAACTGTTTTCAAAATCAAGCCAAATGATTTTTGAAAATTACGATGGTACTTGTTATTTTGTTTTTATTTTCTGTTTTCAAAATTTTGAAAACAAAAATAGCAAAAGGTAATTTCATAAACTTTTACCAATTCGATCGAGATTCCAATCTCCATAGGAAAGTGGAGCATCTCCCAGCAGGACAGTTTCCAGGTGTCTGGTGGCAGATTCTATAGATTGATAAAAATAAAGCAATCTATTGGGCCCACCATGGGCCCCCATTGCCTTTTAGCCTATTAATGATCTATCCTCTGCTTCTACTTTCATGCGTCTTCGGCACGTGTGTACACATGCCAACCACATAAGATCTTGCCTTTTAAGTGAAGAGGAGGACCTGGAGCTGGATGAAGAGAATGTAACGGCTGCTGTTTGGTTTGCTTACGATTTGTTTGACTGTAGCCGTTAATAAAGAAAATTCTGGCACCTTGAAGACCTCATTTAAATCTCCAAAGTCAAATCAAATGTACTTTTGTTGATGACGCCACCTAGCAGTGTGGATCTGTGCCTCAACCTCTGTCTCAGGGTTTATATATTATCGAACAGAGGATCGTAGGATTCTTTCTATTTTTTTCTTTTATTTTTATTTTTTTCTAAATTCATCCTTTTATATTTAATTTTTGTCTTAAGTTTTTTCTATTAAATTTTTAGATTACTGATGTTAAACTATACTCTTACTCTTATAAAATTACAACTTATGTCGACTTTTTTTTCATTTTAATCTCGTCATTCTACTTTGTTTTAATAATATAAACAAAATAAAACAAAAATAAAGTAAAGATAAAATATTTTTTTTTGAGTTTTTAAATTTATTTTTATGATAACAAACAAATTTGAGTATAAAAAACTACTTAATTCATTTTACAAAACTTAAAAAATTGATTTTAGTCCCCTTTATATATGTGCTTATGACTTGATTCCAATAACAGTTGTTTTAAAGAGTGATGATTTATTATTTGCTTCATCCTTCTCTAATCCAAATAAATGAAAATAAATAAATAAACAAGAATCATATAATTATACGAGGGAGTAAATTATAAATCAGTGGCTCTCATTTTGAAAAATGAATAAATCAGTATTTTTATTTTAAAAACTAATTATTTGGATCTTTATATTTTAAATTAATCAATAACTTAATTTTTTATCATTTTTTTTAATTAATGGATTTTTTTTTTCAAATTGCTCTTTATTTATGTTTTATTTTTTTCCATCCACTGTCTTTCTTTCTTTTCAATAAAAAATCAAGAAAAAAGTAATTTTTTAAAAAAATTAATAATCTAATAAAAAACTGATTAAAAAAATTAAATTAATGATGAAATTAAAATGTAAAACGCTAAATGATTGATTTTTAAAAGAAAAAAAAAAAAATCCTTTCTCTAAACCAAAGGGAGTAATTTATACTTTACTCTTATGTAGGGCGCATGCACGTAAATTTCGGGGAGCCTCATAGACATGAGATTTGTATACACGGTTCGATTACGTACTGCAATCTCCCGGACACAATTACAATTAACCGTTCACGCAAATTATTATCGATATATGAAAATTTTCTCTCTCTTTTTTTTTTTTTTATTGGTAGGACTCTATCTCATAATTATGCATGTAGACGCCAATTTCTCTAGAAAAACTAGATGGAGGAGGGAAATGATCTTCAGGATAATATTTGTTTGCATTGCTAGTCCAAATTTGTTTTAATTGATGTGCTAATTAAGTATATCCTAAATGGCAATCGCAAATGACACATTTCTAGTTAGTTGTATTGTGACTTGCATATATATATACAATGCATGTACATTGATTTTCACGAATATTACTGTTTCAAGATAAAATGAAAAGTTAGTTGAATTCTTGGATAAAAAGTGGTATAGATGGTTGCTAAAGTAGGAAGACACGATCGACTCTTAGGTGGGACTAGTGAGTCTTGTGACGGAAACACGAGGAAAAGGCCTATGAGATGTTTATATGTAACTCAAAAATAAGTACTACATACATTGGTAGAGTATTGAAGCATTTTAGTGCAGATAGTAAATATATTTGTTTGGTACTTGAGAGATAAGTTGATTGTGTTGACTTGGATTATGTTAAAAAATTTGATCGTATCACAAGATAAGTATTAGCTCTTAAGGGTTAATAACCATTGGGATTGTGATTTTGATGATAACAACGTATTTATATTACTAATTTGTCCTCGATCAGTACTATGATTTTGATATGTATATTAAATAAACACAAAGATTGGATTAAACATAAATTTAAAGATACTTTTATTTAAGATGCAAAGGAAAGGATGGACTTAAAAAGTAATTTAGTTGAAAAAAATACAAATTTGAATTCAAAGTATTAAATTTTAATTGAAAAAAATAAAAATTTAAGTTCAAAGTATTAAAGAAAAGGTTTTGATCTTCTATAAAAGACAACAACAAGTATTGAAAGTGGAGCTTTCGAAATTTCAAGTAGCATTTTATTCTCTCTATTTGAAGGACTTCTGCTTACGTTTTTTAAGCTTTTTTTATTATTATTCAAGCTGTCCATCATTGAATTCTTTTATATGTGTTTCAATTTCAAAAATCTTTTGTCATAACTTAGCAATAAACGTCTCATTGATAAAAAAAAAAAAAAAAAATCAAGACTTCAATCAAATATTAATAAAGTCTCTCTCAATGATAGATACAACAACTTCACCAGTTAAACTTCAAATATAACCATAAACTTGTTCTTCAATCCGCTATGAATTTTTGAATAAACAAAATCGTGATTAAGGGTGAGAAACCAAGCAATACTGTGAATTTTAGATCTTACATATTCAGACTCATGATTATTTTGAATCCTAAAGATGTATCTAGTAACCAGATCTAGGGTTATTTGAAAAAAAGCTTAGGTGTAATAATAATAAAAATAAATCTTGTATGAAGCTTTTATGATGTATTTATATTTGGTTTTGAATTTACGTAAGGTCATTCATGCATATAATTTTTTTTATCTAAGTCTTTTGAATTGGTGATTAACTGGAACAACATGCTAGCATGTGAGTTTATGTCAAAAGTATCTAAGCCTTTAACATAAAATATATCCTTTAAAATCATCCATAATTATAGCACTTAGAAGTCCCTAATTGCACCATAACATGTTTCCCTTCGAAGGAAACTCGTCTAGTTTTCAGTGATAATTAATCAATTGCATATAATTGTCTTTCAAAGAACGAGATAGTTGAGAAAGAGCTAAAAAATATCTTTGCACAAATCAAAAAGTTATCCCTTTTGCAAGTCACATGTTGAAAAGGAGAGAACTATTAGTGCTGGCTAGTTAAGAGCCATTTAGCATCTTTCATTACTAGAAACATCGCCTAATTACTAATAAAACTAAAACAAAACATAAAAATTACTGTATAAATATTATTTTTTTATCATCCACACTCGTATATATTATTCACTCATGCTTATCTCGCACGGTTTATTTTATTATTTACAATTAAGTTTGTCAATTTTTTACATTTTAATCTCTTATTTTTTTCAAAATTTTTGTTTCAATCTCGAACTTCATTTATGTGGCATTTTGATCCATAGCAGCTTAGAGGAAAAATAAACGAAGAGAGAGAGAGAGAGAGAGAGAGAAAGGGGTGAGAAGCCCATTCCGGCCACCTTGAACTCACCATTATTTTATTTGTATTGAATAGTAGAATCAATTTGTGACAATCACAAAGTATGAAATAGTAAGCGGAGATAGATCGAAAGACTAAAATCTTTTGATATTTTTTATTTTTATGTGAATTAAAATAGATTTTAAGGTTCAAAGTGAGTCTTTTTTTATGTTATTTATGTGATTTTGAGATATTTTTAGACAAAAATAAAATTGAAATTAGGTTCAAAGTGAGTTTGTGTTTTCAAAATGTTATAGTAAATCACCACCAAAACTAACAGAACACTATAACTTAATATCTCGTTTATACCTCAAATTACATGATCACACTAGATTAAATATCTATGGTCCCTATAAATAATATCAAAGAGTTATGCATTATTTTTCACTATATGCATTTGTACTTATGGTTATATCAAATACTTTTATCTAACACAATCGTAATAGCAGAACCACACACATGACAGTTAGGGTCTCATAACAATAATCTATTACACAAGCTCATAAAATTGTCTCTTCCACGTTCGAGACCACTCATCGGTCAAAACAATATGAAAATATAATAAATTGATAATAGAGAACAACTAGTATTCTAACCCTTTTTTTTTTTTTTTAATCCAAAACATTCATTCATTGTTGGCTTTGTCACTTTATCGCGATTCAAACATATAGAGAGAAAGAATCAATGGACAGTGCTAGGGGAGACAAATACAATTCATGATTTTTCACTCCCCCTCAACTTCTCGTAAAATAGTGGCTAATGGTTTTTAAAGTTTCGATTTAAGAGTTTTGGGGTTTTGATAAATGAGAAGATAAATTAAGAGTTTTTACAGATAAGAGAGAAGAGAAAAAGAAGATTTTGAGCTAGAATTGGTTGACAATCAATAATGAGAAAATAATCTCGTCAACAGACAAAATCGAAGAAAATGAAGACAAAAAGAAAATGAGAATCAATAATGAGCAAGCTGGAGAGAGAGAGAATTAGTGTTTATATACCTAGAATTTTTTTCCCTTTTATGCAAACTTAGTTTTTTTTTTTCCCCATTTTTGCCACATGGAAAATTTACAAGACGTATCATGCCACGTGAAACATTTTATACCAAATGCCAGTTTTTATTCGAAAATTAGCCAGAAATTTATTGGATGGGCCATATTAAAAAGGTTAAAAAGTAAAGGGATTTGACGAATAAAAAAAAGAAAAGAAAAACCACAGTAAAAAATAAAAAATAAAAAAAATGAAGAGTTGAAGGCGTTTCTTGCGATTGATCGTAAATCCATCCAATACAGCAAGAAACCGACACGTCATAAAAGAGAACCCAAACACATAATGGTGGGGGCTATATATCCGTCTCAAAAGTCCAAGTGTTGTGTAACCCAACTTTTCCTTCCATAATTCTTTGCCTTTTCAGCGTGTACAGAAAGAAAGAAGAGAGAGAGAGAGAGAGAGAGGGAGAGAGAGAGATCAAAACAAAAGAAAAGAAAGAAACAAACGAGAGCAAGAAAAGAAATAAACTGACGAATCACACAAAACATAATTTTTTTCTTTTCAGTTCTTTCCACTCATAAATCCAATCTGATCAGTTTTATTTTTTCTTTTTTGGCATTCGTTCTTCTTTTATGGCTAAAACTGGAGTTCTTGAGACTATACCATGTACAGTGACGAAGGCAACAGAGTTAAAGAGCGAATTGGAGAAACTAGTGAAGGCAATTCTTGCTGAGGAAGACTATAGAGTGGAGGTTACTGATGAGGCCATGAAGATTTTGAGTGTCTTGAAAGAATTGAAATTCAAGAAATCTTTGAAGGTGGCGGATAATAAAGTTGTCCCTGAAGAATTTAGATGTCCCATTTCAAGGGAGATAATGGGTGACCCTGTTGTCTTGGCTACTGGACAGGTTAGACCATGGAAAGTTCTCTTCTTTACTTTATTCATGCATTTGGGATTTCTTTGCCATTTTTCTTTTTGGATTTTGAGTGTTCCTGGAAGTTGAATTGTCATTGGTTTGGATGCTATTTGAATGTGCATGCAAGAAATTCTTTATCTTTGGGGATTTATTTGAAGGGTTTAATTTTAAATTGGTATTGGAATTTGAGTTGAATGTTTTTGCCATGCACTAGCAATAAAAATTTTCAAGTATTCTGTACATATGGATTTTGGTTCTGCTTCAAAATTGCTGAGGCTTTGGCTTTGCTTAATTTTATTCTGATGTAATCTCTGCAAGAACTGAAAATTCTCGAACACTGGAATTTGTCCCCCTTTTTTTTCTCCTTTCCTTTGCTTGAAAATTTCAATTAACAAATTTATTGGAACTAGGAATTTCAGCATCTAGTGTAGAATTTTGTTTCTTTTGAGAAAGTAAGCCCAAGACAAGGAAATTTACTGCCGAAAATCTGGCTGGTTATTGATTTTATCTGCATCCATAATTTTGAGATAAGAGCTGAAGGAAACAGTTTTGATTCTTTACACAGTCTTGATATTTTTGGTTAAACCTGTCGCCATCATTTTCCATATTAGAGATAACTTAGTCAGATGGCCAATCAATTTTTGGGATGGTAGCCTCAAAGATTAGGGCAAGGAATTGAACCTTGCTCTAGAGCATTAATGAGCCGGTCATCAACAAAGTGAAGATGTTCTTGCGCCATGACTGATGCTAGAACAGTTATACCAATTTGATTTGTGATAGTGACCTTGCAAAAGTAGAATGAGGAATGTACGCATCCATGTTTATTTTACTTGAATTCCCGTGCTATACTAGCTGGTTTCATTTTTGTTCTATGATTTGATGGCTACAGAGTTACTCACTTACTGAAATGTTTGCTGATTTCTAGACTTATGATCGACCATTCATCCAAAGATGGCTAAATGAAGGGCATCGAACATGTCCCCAGACCAAGCAAGTCCTTTCTCATATTATCTTGACCCCTAATCATTTGGTGCGAGAAATGATTTCACAGTGGTGCAAGGAGCGTGGAATTGAGCTACCAAAGCCTGTTAAAGATGTTGATGATGATGTGCATACTGATGCTGACCGAGGCTATTTGAAATCACTGCTTGAAAAGATGTCCTCTCCCCTTTCTGACCAAAAAGAAGCTGCAAAAGAGCTTCGGCTGCTAACTAAAAGGATGCCATCATTTCGGGCCCTTTTCAGTGACTCAACCGATGCCATTCCTCAATTGCTCAATCCACTATCACCAGGCAGAGCTAACACTCACCCAGATCTGCAAGAAGATTTGATTACAACAGTTTTGAACCTCTCCATTCATGACAATAATAAACAGCTAGTTGGAGAAAATCCGCTTGTCATCCCTCTGCTTGTTGAATCTGTAAAATCTGGAACCATTGAAACAAGAAGCAATGCTGCTGCCGCTCTCTTCTCCCTGTCAGCCCTAGATTCAAACAAGCTCATTATTGGAAGATCAGGTGCTCTCAAACCTCTAATTGACCTCTTAGAAGAAGGGCATCCACTGGCAATGAAGGATGCTGCATCAGCAATATTCAACCTATGTCTTATCCTTGAGAATAAAGGTAGGGCTGTCCAAGAGGGGACAGTTAGGGTAATCCTAAAAAAAATAATGGATTGCATCCTTGTTGATGAGTTGTTGGCTGTCCTTGCAATGCTTGCTAGCCATCAGAAGGCTGTTGAGGAAATGGGGGAACTTGGTGCAGTGCCTTGCTTGCTTGGCATTATAAGGGAGAGCAGTTCTGAGCGCAACAAGGAGAATTGTGTTGCAATTTTACACACAATCTGTCTAAATGACCACACTAAATGGAGGGAAATTAGGGAAGAGGAATATGCCAATGGTACACTTTCGAGACTCGCAGAGAGTGGGACTTCAAGAGCCAAGAGGAAAGCTAACAGCATCCTCGAGAGACTGATTAGAGCTGATTCACTCACACATACTGCGTAATGAAACAAACTGCATAGACCGAAGATATTGCCAATTAGTTCTTGTACATGCTGTCTTCCTGCACTCTCCCATTGTACAGACCGATAGTTAGCTCATTTACTGTAAAAAGTTCGATGTCGATACGCGTTTCCTATTTCTGTCCCAGGCAAGTTTTGGTCCATCTAAGGACAACACCTGAGCAAAGAACATGTGAAAGTTTAACCTCTTATATGGTGAATGAATATACAATAGTCACACTGGTAAGTTTTGACATTCTGTCGTATCTTCCTGCCTCTGAATTCTTCTACTTGCTTTCCTGTCTTCACTTGAATGTCAATTTCATTTAAACTAAATTGGTACCTTCGATGCCAACGTCAAATTATGGATTGTGAAATTGCTGTAATGTAATTCAGAGATTTTTTCCATCTAAGAGAGGGCAGGGCCAACTGATTGAAAGTGATTTACACAGACTGGCTGGTTAGTGACTGCAGTTGTAGGGTCTCAACTGTTCCTCTCACCACCAACTTTTAGAGTGTCGGCACCAATACCATATAACATAACAAAACGCATATTTTGCTTAGTAATTTGGTTTTAAGTGGCGGCCTAAGTATTAAAATATTGTATCATATGCCAACAAAATTTGGACGGTGCTATATAGAATTCAAGAGCTAGCATAAAACTAGGATAGAGAGTAAAAAGTAGTGGGGATATTCAGTGTCCTCATGTTGGGCTGACTGGGTATTCCATATTTCTGCTATCTACTAGTTTACCTTCCATGGTTGGCATTTTTTGATGGGGTTGCACTAGGTATTCATCTTGTTAGGTGAACTAGACACCCCTCTTTCCCGCAGTAAACAACTAGCTAAAGATGGTACATAAATAGGTATGAATCTTGGTGGATGGGGATGAGAAGCACAATCTTCTTTTCCTATTATAAAAGAATCTTTGCAAGGAGTGATCTTACTGACCTGTTCTACCTTTCTTGTTTTGATTCAAGACATTCTCAGAGACAGGTGTCGGTGGCAAATCTTCGAAAACATTAGTAGCCGTCATCAGCAACTCTAAATTGTCATTAAGCCAACAAAGACTAATAATTGTAAATTATTTCAGAAATAGTTTATTTCTTCTTGCTTGCGTTACTGGTATCACTAGTCATGCCAACCCACATTGTTTTTAAAGGCGGTTAATCTATCACAGTCATCGGTTTGGATGTCATTTCACTATTTAGCACTACTGGGACAAAATATAATGTTTGTCAAAGAATTGTAAACTTGTATTTCAAGTTTTCAACTAGCCAGATGGTATTTACTGATTTTGTGCTTATTTCTTGCTTCATTTGTCTCTTGTCATCAGAGTTGACTTTCGATGTGTTATGAATTTCGTTAGGGCTATGCTAACATTTACACAGGACCATCAAAACATCATCTGCATAATACAATAATGGGGATTGATTGGCTTTCAGAATTTGTGGGGATGAAACTTTAATGGAATTTAGTGCATCTCAATGATGAGAATATGCTAAGCAGCATTTGCTAGTGGACATCCAAACCTGCATTATTGTATTGTAGCTCGTTACGTGTCGAAAGCTGTTTGGATTAATCTGTGCAGGAATCTAAATTTTGTTGTGACTTCAGACATGGTTATTAGATACCAAAGGCTGTGTCATTCTCAAGTTGAATAGATGTGTTTGGACAGTAGTAGGTAAGAGTTCACTGTGACTATGCAGACTCTGCCATTGCCACATTTTTTTTGTTTGGTTTCGGTTTTTAACTTGTCCTTGAAAATGTGAGAGAACAATTCTTTTGAGCTTGACAATCGATACCTAAAAAATGGTGCTATTTTATCAACTTTTATTTACAATTATTCCTTGCTTAATGCGTGGTTTTCTTGATGATGAAAGCCCAAATCATCAGCATATCTACTTTTCTGATCCATTTTTCCTTCCATCTATCTGAAGAAATGGACTTTGGCCTCTGTCACCTGATAGCCGAAGTATAAAAAAATGATGTGATCATGCATTTCAAAGAGGGCAAACCCATTTCAACAAGAAACAACGACTGAGTCTACTTGCGTAAATAATATATATCTTTTTTCTTCTGTAAGTTACATTCTTCACGTTTCTGACAATTACACTAACAATCGGTCCATTTCCATCTGTAATTTCTAAACCAAAAAGTTGAACTGATCACCTCTGAATTTCAACAAGACTGCATTAAAACTAGCGGCTAATCTAACTTTGAAAATAAAAACAAATTTGGTGCAATGGAATCAATGAAATTTACCTTTTCTTTTAGCGTTTTTTCCTACTAATCTTTTGAAAAAGTTAATAAAGGATAAGAAGATAAAGACCCCCTAACTTCCTTGTCCAACGCTCTAGCTTCACTTAGAAGCTCTCTTGCAAAGACGAAACAGGTATTTGCCCAGTCTATTTATGGTACTGCTGTTTACGCGGAGCCCTCAAAATTCAACTAAACACTCAATTTCCCCATGTACAAGTCTAGTTTTGCAATGATGAAAGGAACCCATAACAAAGCTTTGGTCAAGATTCAAACCCCACTACCGACTGTTTTGCTCCTCTTTCTCAAGAGACTTATCTTCTTTAATTAGCTTTTTTCTTCTTCTTCTTTTTCTTTTAGTTGCCTCGATAGTTAATAGGTGAATTGGTATGAATACATGTATGTTTCCAAAACTAGGTAAAAAATGAGGCCCGGAATAGAACAATTTCCTCAACCAACTACATGCTAGTGCTAGAACTGATTAGTTGCCTTAAGCTTACTTTAAGGAAACATTGTTGACAACAGCAAAAAAGGGCTTAGGTATTCTTGTTCTGTTTTTTGGCCACTCTTTAATACGCATACATTGATAAAGAAAAGTATCCATCACTTTTTCAATGAAATGAAACCTTGAAATTATATGATCTTTCCATTGGAAAGCCAGCCAAAAATGGGGTCCAAATTCTTCTGAAGAAGACAATGAAAGATGAGAGTTGTCAAGACTCGAAGGTCATATATAGGGTTTGAGGAAGTTCCATCATGCTTTTGCCCAAAACTGCTCTAGTTCTAATTCATCATCCGTTTTCTTTCATAATGGGCTCACAAATTCCAATTGGGTTTTCATGTAGTTCGTCTTTATTTGACGGTTGATTTCTTTCTTTTTTCCTCTTTTTTTTTTTTTTTTTTTTTTGGTGGGATTCTTTCCATATTTTGCTTATAAAACTATCGATTTAAATACCCTTTAACTTCAACAACCTCAAACCTAACCCAAATTCCAAAATTTTGATTTTATATAATAATAATAATAATAACAACAACAATAAGGAAGATATTTTAAGGCTACTATTTTTTTTTAGACAAAAAAAAAAAAAAAAGCATTTAGGCTACTAGTTTTTTTTTAAAAAAAAAATCAAAACAAAAACATTTTTGGATCGAGAACTAAAAAAAAATATATTAAATTAAAACAAATCAAGGGAGAGGCATGGTGCTCAACTGAACACTGGATTGCACTTTATAGTCCTCACCTTTCAAAAGAAATTTCTTATTAAATATAAGTTTATCAATCATTATTTTTATTTAATTCAAATTTCTCGTAACTCGGCAAAACAAACCCGACCTTCGCTTATTTCTAATACAAACTCAATATATAGTCTTACAAAGATACAATGCATTTTTTTTCCTTTAAAATAGAAATGTATCAATGCCAAAAACAAAAATAAATAAATAAATAAATGTATACCTAATCATTTCATCTTTGGCAAGCCTAACCTTTAAAAATTAAAATCCAGTGCCAAAAAGTAAGATAAGAACCATCATATACCAGCAGATTCACCATAATTCCATTTTCATTTATAGCATATGTTACTAGTAACTTTTGTAAGCTGAGCATTCTAAGATAGTGTTTTGATGTCTGTCAAGGGAAGGAACACAAAAGAGACTAGACAATAAGGATAGAAACCCGTTTGATAGCCGAGACAGGGTCAAAAACTCAATTCTTGGTAGTCCAGATTTATGAAGCACAAGCACGTACAAGGCACGAAAACAAGCCTGGTCTTTTCTTCTGCATGCAAAGAGACAAGGAATATAATTAAATTAAATCACTTTCAAATCTCACGATAAAGTTGATGTTTCCTTGCCCAAAACCAATATTATAGTAGATGAAAATGTACAATCGGTTCAGCCTTGAAAATATTATAGGCTTCAAGCATCACAAGGCCCAGGCAAATGGAGCACAGATTTTTCTCTTGTGGGTCCTTTAGCAAGCCCACAAGTTTCTTGCAGCAGTATGACCTCATACGGCGTCTAGAAATTTTATTCAACACGAAAGAGACTTGCTTTTATTTTAGTGGCATTTAAGACTTGTTTGTCAAAATGATGATTTTGGGCAATAAGTGGCTTGCTTGCTTTTTTGGCACATATCCACTCAGAATTGCCAACATTTCAACGTCAATTGGAAATCTAGGAACCGAAAGGAAGTTTTATTCAAACCGGATGCTAGAAAAAAATAGGCACGGATGGTTACAGGCTTTTAATCTACAACTAAGTCATATCAGAGACCTGAGCAGGTTTCACTTTCAAAAAAAATATATATATTTCTTTTAGTGAAACAAAATTCTAAATACGCTTTAGTCATGTCACGAGAAAGAACTATCCTCAACAAGTCTAATAAGGAGTTATGTATGTACTGATCATGCCATTGTTACTATAAGGAGGAAATTAAGCAAGAAAACTTACCCTTTTGGGAGAGCGGAGAAGCTCAGGTGGGATTTTGTAGAGATCTTCGTCGACAGCTTTAGGATGCTTAACAGGAACTTTAGAACCAATTACAGTGTCTATTTTGTGACCATGTGAAATCTTAGTATTGTTATTATTGTTGTACATAGAGATTGGCATGGTGGGTTGTTGTTTCCTTGCCGGTTCAGTCACGTCACAGACTTTGCCCTGCTTTCTCAGCTCCTTAACATGCGGTCCTCGCTTTTCTCTCATTCTTCCCTGTAAATTCGACACCGTCAATCAAATTCCACACGTTCATCATTACTATCATCATTATTATTTCCTTATGTGACGTAACATCATCATTTTCACCATCAACTACTTGCTTTCGTTTTCCCAGCAATTAAATTTATTTTACTTGTCCTAATAGTACTCTTCTTAATTATCTACATGAACTTATGTGACCATACCATCATCATTCTCAAAAATCAATACTAGTTTGGGGGAAAAAAAAACAGAACTAGTATTTTAAGTCAAGTTGCACCAATTTTTTATGTTCCACCTGAGTCTGTAAGAATGACATTCAAGAGGAATAACTTTAAATATCGTTTTTTCAGCTCTTAATTTAATCAAACGTGACCATATTTTAAGATATCTTTTCATATTCTCAGCAAGTTAATGTGAACATGAGAAAAAGAGTACTCTCCTTCTAGTTCGATCCATGAACATTTTCACCCATAGAAAAAATGTGTTGGTGTGTATGTGGGAAGAGAGAGAATTAAAAAAAAAACGGCAAAATCTAAGGGCAAACCTTTCTGGGAAGAGCAAGATTACGAGAAGGTTTGTTGAAATCAGAAGCATATAGATCACCACGCCTGTACTGATGACCACATTCTCCAGAGGAATTAGTACTGTATCGAATCAATCCTGCCTGTCTTGCAGACTCAAAATACTGTGTAATTGGCAGCTCATTTGTTTGGTCCCAGTTTCCAAATGCTGGTATTTGTCCACTTCGTCTCCATTCCTAACCCCAAAAAAAGAAAAAAGAAAAAATCAATTATATTGAAGGGGCAGATGAAATGAGATAAGCATGTCAAGTACTGCAGTTACTTCAATGGGAAGCTAAAAATTAAAAGAAATTTTATTTTATTATTGTTTCTTGAAAAGAGGCTGAAAAGAAGCCAAGAAATGGCAGGAGAGGAAGCTTACATCCATTTTGGTTGACATTGGCAGTATAACGCAAGAAGCCAAAGAAGATACTGAAACAAAAAGTTCTTTGAGTATAAAGGGTAGAGAAAAAGATGGGAGCTTGGAAAGGGAAGAACAAAAAGGTTAAAAACGAAAGGATATGGGGATTCTCAGGAAAAAACCACCCAAGATGAAAGATATAAATTCTAGTTCAGAATTGCAGAGAGAGAATCTGCAAAGAAAGATACATTTTCAGTTCTTTTATAGCACACAGTAAAAGTACAGTCTAGAGAACACAAGTGAAAGAAAGAAATGAGAGTTAGCTTTGGCCTTTTGCGTTGCTCGTTTTTTTTTGTCAACTTTTTCAGATTATAATATAGAGATACCTTTTTGACCTCTAAATCCTTCGCTGCCTTATCTGCAAAGAAAGGTTTCTTTAAGCTAGATCACGCGGCAGACAGGAACTTGGGACCCACACTTTTATAGGTTTTCTTCCACCTCGATTTGAGAGTTTGTAACTGTTACAAAAAGTGAGTCTGACCGTGGAGTATGGCCAAACTAAAGGCTCATTCTTTTTAGGTATTTTTTTAGTACGATTTGAGAATTGCGTAATGATACTGTGGAACTGTGTCCCGTTGAATTTGTTGTCTCCCTGTGCTGACTACTGAATGCTAATAACTTTAAAGAGGATGAAAAAGATCTAACAGAGTAAAAGAAGGTGCTGCCTCCACTTAATCTGTACTGAAGCAGTTAGTTTACTTTGAATAAAAAAGATGGGTTTTACTCGATTGTCCTTAAAGAACGTGTTCCATCTGATTTTTGCATTCAATTCAAGGCAAGAATTTGACTGTACCTTGCAAGTTGCTCCACTTCACAATTGCTTTGCATACTTAATACGGCAAAGATTTTGGACTGCTAGATGATTGAAAGCTTAAAAAGAGCAGCCGTATAAATATATTTTTTTATTTTCTTTTTATTATATCTTAATCAAAATCTCATATTAATCTTTTATTGTTTGATTAGTTATTCAAAACATTTAAAAAAATTCTGTATATAAATCAAGATTACTGCTCAAGTAAATCTTCTTAAATAGCAGTGTAATTTGTTTACATATAAAGCAGGATTAATCAGGTGCAGCATACTGATTAACGAGTTGGATAATTAAACCTTCTACTTAGCGGCATACACCAAAAACCTCAATTATTATTATTTTTGTTTATTTCAACCCCTAAACGAAATGACCTTTTGATTGAAACCCTTTCTTTTGCTCCTTCCAATTTCTTCCATCACCACACACGAGTTTGCACATATTTTGTTTGTAAAATATCAAAAATATGTTCAAAAACTTCATCAGGGAATGAACTTCCACCAATAAAATAACATTAAAAAATCACTGAGAAATCAATCCTTGACTTTTTAATGATTTTTTTTTGAAAGAAAAAAGAAACACGTGACTTATTAACAGAAATTGATACAAAAAGATTGTCAATTAACACAAGCTATAGTTTAAGGGATTGAAATCAAAAGGAAAGAAAAAATAGTTGAATGGGTGTGCGTGGCAAAGGCTTACAATCCATTCCAGGATAAGTTTAGTCCAATTTTTCGTTGATATCTGCCAACTTTTCATGGTTTCACCAAACAAGTTCCAAGTAAATTTGAGTGGGAATTAACTCAGATCAGGGGACATACAGCAGAACCCTGCACCGTCGTACATAAGTGAGAACGAGGACGCATCAAGGGGACCAGCGGTGTGTAAGCTTGGCGCTCATTGAAGTCTCGTTTTTCTTCGAGAGCATGTTTATAAGGAGATAACTTACATATCCTCTGACTAGCAATTTTAAATATTAAAGATATTTGTGTTTTTTTTTTTTAAATATTAAATGTCTTTGCCATTTAATTAAGATGTTCTAACATTCTCTTCAAAACTAAAAAAGCGATGCATTTCTAAAATATTTCTTGGTGGGAGAAAACGTTTTTTTTTAAAAAAAAAATTAAATGAACTGATAAGATGCTCTTGTTTTCATTAATAATAACACAATTACTTAACACTTTAACCTATAATTTTTAAAATTTAACAAAGAATTAAAAAACAATATTCTTTAGCAATAAAATATAGAATTAAACTCATTTAGGTTTGTTGTTAAAAAAAAAAAAAAACTCAGTTAGTTTTAGCATTGAAAATTCAAGAAAAAGGCAAATATATGGTTTTTCATAAAAAAGAATCATTATTTGTGAGTATTTGGAGAGAAGGTTCTCTTCTAAATAAAGAAGCAAAAATTATAATATGATATTATAGGAGTAACGGATATGTCATCACTTAATAAAAAAATTAACAATGATACGTAGTTGATAATTTAAAAAAAAATAGCATATTCAAATAAAAAAAATTTCATGTATGAGATTAAGGAAAAAAAGATAAAATCGTAATTCAATTGTCGGAGAATGACAGATATTTCATCGGTTAATGTAAAAATTCACAGAACTACTTAATTGATAATTTTAAAAAAATTAAAGTATTTAAATAAAAGAATAAAATCCATATATTCAATAAACAAAAAGTTAAAAATTAATGTAATTGTAGTGAAATTATCTTAATTTTAATACGATGGGACATGGCCCCCAACACTTCAAAACCTGAAATATTTTGAAGGACGAACACGTGAGCCTTGCCATGACCAATGAATTCATTTGGAAAGAAAGAGAGTTCCTTAATGAGAAAATCAAGAAAAGAAAAACAGAAGCCTCTTCCATGTCTCGTCTGCTTTCTGACTCCTGGTTAAACCACTGACCTGCCCTGATCTCCTTGTGGAGTGGTATATGCCGATTTAATTTGACTTTCCATTACTCACCCTTTGGTGCTTTTTGTAAATGACAAATGGCCACCAACCAACCCATCCGTTTTCAGACTGGCTGTAAATTAGTCAATTTTTAAGCGAAAAACGCAAACTGAAACTTTTGACAACATAGAGGCAACAAAGTCAAAGACTGATCTATAATGCAGAGCTGGCTCATCTCTGTACGCCCTCAGCAAGCGCCAAAGTCCTTATGGGCCGAGCAAGCTGTTCTCATGCGCTGGCAGGTTTTGCTCACGTGAAGTTGTTGGTTGTAATAAAATTGATGGCAATAAAATTACAAAATACGCTAACCGTATCATTGATTCTTCCAATCACAAACAAGAAAATATCGCAAATGAAACTTAATTTATTTCCTTTCAAAACAGAAGAAGTTTACCAATCCACTCCTCCCGTTTTTGAAAGTTCCAAGGAAACCGTGCTACTTGTTTGTGTGAGGGTATCATTTTCCTATCAGGAGATATTCATCGATAGGAGTCGAGTTGAAGTATACTGTTTGTTGAATAAGCACAAGTTCTGAAGTTACAAACACATAAAAAAAAAAAAAAAAAAAAAAAAAAAAAGAAGAAGAAGAAGAAGGAGGAAGTTCACACACTCGCACATCGATGTATATGTCGTACAATCTCTTTTCAACATTATTTTTTTAAAACAAGGTAAATTTAAGAATATATTTGATAATCTATTTAAGTAATTTAAAAAATTAAGTTATAATATTCAATTAAAAAAATATTTGATAACCTAAATAATCTCATATTAAAAATTTAAATTCAGTCAAATTTATTTAATCATATAAGTTAAAGTTTTTAACTTATTACTTTTTAATTAACACGATCAATTAAAAAAATTTTAAAACTTTTTAAATATAACTATATCGCCATTATATATTTTTATAACTTTAAATATACAAACTAACTGAAAAACAATCTCTACTATCTTTATTACTAAAACAGAGAAAATCTTCTCTATTATCGATACTACCATCTCGAAACCTAAAACGTAAATTAATGTTATCTTATACATTATTTATTTTTTTATTAATAATCATTTTTATTGATTATTTATTTATTTATTTGTCCACACAAACACATCTAAGTATATATTTTTATTTGTGTTAAAAACTATTATGTTACAATTACAAGATTAAAATTGTTATGTATATAGTCTTAATATGTTTAGTAACAGTACTTATCAAACAAGTTTATTATATTCAACATTTAATTTTTAGTAAATATTAAACAACTTGTTAGAAACATATTTAGTACTTAATAGATTCAAGTACTTAATTTTTAGTTTTATCAAATACCCCTTAGTTGTGTATTGATATATGATACCCATATGTGTAAAATGTGGAAAAAAAAATCTAAATTTGATGCGCGTATATAGTAGGATGTGTGCTAACGATTTGTCCATTTATAGGATAGTTTTTAATCTTTTTCAGTTTTGGAATTTATATCTTGAGTCCCTTTGTATAGTTTTTATTATATATTTTTTATTACTTTCTAGTAGTATATAAATTCGTTTCATTCTTTATATGTAAAAAAAAAATTATTGTATCTTATTTGGCTTCACGTCGACATATTTCATTCTTCCATTTCAATTTAATGAAATCTCTAGGGTTTCACAATAACAATAATAATAATAATAATAATTTTTCTCCAAAGAACGAAAGAGATTTTGAAGGCATTTGTTTCAAGTAAACTATTTCACAAATAGAAAGTATTTTGCATGTGAAATATTTTTTCATAAAATAATTTATATGGAACAAATTTTACTATGTTTGATAAGTAAAGATATGAAATATATCATGATGATAGAATAGCAATAACAATGGTTGTGATTATGATAGTAATAGTAATTGAACAACGATGATGGTGATAATTATGAAAAATAAAAAATAAAAAAGTGTTAGTGATCATAGTGTGGTTGATGGCATGGTGGTGTTGGGTGGCAACGACAAGGTGATGCCTGAAATAGTTAGATGATATCCTGAAATAGTTAGAGGATATTCATAAAATATTTCACATATAACTTCATGAGTTGAATATATTTTTCAAAAAATAAACTAAATTCATGGGTTGATTGTAAAATATTTTAGATAGACCAATTCTCCTGAAAAATATTTTATGTTAAGTAAAAAAATGAAAATTAAGAAAATATTTAATTTTCTTATTAAATATCTTACGTAAAAAAAATATTCCTTTATAGTAATATTTTTGGATGGTGTTATTTTCACTCCATAAATTGTCAATCCCTCTCTATATTTATTACAAATTCTATTAATAAACTACGTTACCTGTTACCTTTTATCTATAGCATAACCATAAAACTATGAAATATCTTATTGTGATAGAATCAATTTTTTTGAAATATAATTTTCTAATTATCAATAACCCAATTCGATTAACAAACTACACAAAAAAATTGAAATTGTGAAAATTAAATAACTCTATTATATTTTTTAGATAAATATTTTATTGATGAACAATATTTGGAAATACAAAAATTTCTTTGATAATAATAAATAAAATGTAGTAGCATGACCATTTTTTTTGTTTGAAGAAATTAAATTTGATGATACATATTGAAAAAAAAAAGTTTAAATTTTGAATATTCTAATTACTAAAAAAGTAAGACTATTTACTTTTAGCAACATTTTTTACATTTAAATGTATTAAAATTATTTAATACTATTATTTAGGAAAAATAATTATCATCATTTATGGAAAATCTAATTAGGGATAGTTTTGTCTATCTAAATAATAAAAATATATTATAAAGTGGGATTAATGAACTATAAAGTGGGAATAACATTACCAAATTTTTTTGTGTATTTCTATTATATCTATTATATATAAATGTTGTTTGTAGTTCTTTGGTTAATTTTAGTAAAAACAATGATACGTTAGGAAGGAGCTAATTGATCTTTCCTGCCTTCTTGCCTCTTGTCTTTGCAATTTCCTAGTCCAGTGTGGAATTTGATTTTGATAATTCCATTAACCTTGTTTTTGCTTTTTTCCCTAATTCGCTGATATTCTAATACTTATGAATGAGTTTAATGACAAAAATTGCTCATGTTCTATTGCAATTTGATAATTTTAGGTATTTATTATTAATTTGCATATTTTGAACCCTAAGATATTGATTTTTGGATAAATTTTATTCAAATTCCAATTTCTTTGTTATTTAATTTTTTTTACTATTATTTTTTAAAAAAACCATTAAAATTTTTTTTCCTTCATTTTTCAAAAGAGATTTTTTTTCACCCATTTACCTATAAATAAATAAAAATTTCATTACATTTATCACTATTTTTTTGTTCTCTCACTGAAAAAAAAAAAAAAAAGCTTTCACTTTTTGAAGCTATCTTTAAAAACTAAAAATAAAATAAAATTAGAAAAGTTTTTTAAAAAAGGGTTTTCTGACTCTAACAATTTTAAACGCATATTATATATTTAAATCAATTGTGAGAATACAAAATCCCATAAAGCATGTGAAGAAAAAAATATTAAATAAATGTAGCTATATTTAAAATTTAATGATTGACAATCACAATAATAAAATTATTGGCATGAAAGAAGAAGAAGAAAACTTTCAGTTAAAATTAATTATTTACTAATTTCATTTTATCAAATTCAACCAATAAATATTTATATTTTATTAATTATAGAAGTTGATTGTTTTAATGGATAATGATACTACATAAAAATTGAAAAAAAAATGTATTCAAATAACAACTTGATTGACTATGAAAAATTAAATGGATTAATATGTGAAAATTTTAAATAGAAAGGATCTCTCTTGAAAAATAGAGAAAAAGTATTTTAACAATTTTTAAAAAATTAACAGAAAAAGCTAATAATCAACTCGGGTTGACAGTTATAAATAAATGAAAATTAAAATTTAGATAAAATTTGTCCAAAAATCGATATTTTAATATTCAAATTATGTAAGTTGATAATAAAAGTTTGAAATTATTGAATTACAATAGAATAAGAGTAATTTTTACTGTAATTCCTTAGGAATGTGTTGTTTTTTGTCTTCCTAATTTATCGGAAAGTTTGTTGAACTTTAAACTATACAATAATAATAGTATTTTTTTCATTACATAAAAAAAAAAAATCCTGATTCCAACATACTTAATTGAAAGAAATAATTGGATATACCATTGATAGGCTATGCCTAATTGTGTTGAGTTGATTTATTTAATGTGTAGCCGTGACAGACAGGAAAGCATATGATGTTTGCACAGAAAAGCCTGGTATAGATCAGGAAATGACGAAGGGACAGTGTAGGGTGGGAGGAACTTGCTTCATGTACAGTCATAATAATAATTCATGGTAAATGCCTTCCATTATAGCTACAATGAAGATAGACGTACAAGGAGGCCATGACTCATGAGCCATTTTGGATCATATATATGCCTTCATATTTGGAGTTAATTATTTCCTTCCTTATCATCTGAAAATAATTATTAGATGTTTAATTTATGTTGACTGAGATATTTTATTGTTAGTTTCGAATAATATAAGGTACGTAATATCAATGGATTAGTTATTAGTATTATTTATATATATTAGTTTTTTCTTTCCCCCATCTAGGTGTTATATATATATATATATATATATATATATATATATAAACTCTACAAAATAAATTGTTTTAAGCAATAGTACTTTCTTTTTCTTAAGATTATGAATCAAATCAATCAATAAAACTATTACATACCATAAATTTGTCCATATCATTTATTTAGTAAATCACTTGAATTTTTTTTTTCATATTTAATAGTCTATTCATAATTGTATAATAAGATACTTAATAATCCATCAATCATAAAGTAATTTGGATAAATTAAATGATTTGTAAAAAATATCTATTTAGTACCTATTGTTCAATAGAAATATAAATTATATCATGGGACTTCACCTATCAATTTAAATTTTTAGATAAGATGGTCGTTTAACATGATATCGAGCTTGGTTAACCAAGA